ACGATCGCCGCCGCTCAATTTGATACAAGTGATCCGATTAAATCACTTGTATTGAACGAGCAGCGGCTCCCACTGTACATTTAGCTCTGCTTGTCCAGAGCAGGGCTAAATGTACAAAAAACTACTCGCCCGGCGCCTGAAACTGCATGTCCCGGGCGATAGGGCTTCACTCCATAAGACGCACACACATTTTCCCTTGCCTTTTGGGAGGGGGGGAAATGCGTCTTATGGAGCGAAAAAATACGGTATTTGCTTTAAAGCGGATCTTTACCCTCTTTCACTGAACATCATATCAGCATGCAACTCTGCCTTACGACATGAAATCGTATTACATTCATTCGTTAAACATTTTTTGCTTTTACACACAATGGCTGTTTTTCTACTTCCTAGTTGAGTGAGGTACTGGTGATGAAGCCCTGGCCTCACAGATGCACCCTGGGAACGTTACGTCGCCAGTGCCTTCCTGGGAAATCTCATTTGTAAACTGCAAACTCTCACAAGATCTCAGGGGAAGGTATTCCCCCTCAGATGATGTGCCCGGTCACATGTTCCAGGAGGCAGACTTCCAGGAAGTCAAGGGTGATGGATTCATCTGCCCTTAGTCAAAATGGGCACCGTGAGAAGAATGGGCAGGAAAACAAGAATAAGGAATGCAAAGAATAAAAAGTCAGCAATTATCTAGAAGTATCCATCTATAGACTGCCATTACTAAACATTTTTAAAAGGTGCCTTTGTTGTAAGTTTTAAGGTAAGGGTGAAGCTCCTCTTTAACAGGGAACTATGGCCCAACCATTTCTGGCTATAGTTCTCTTTAGGGTCACAGCAGGACAAATACTAATGTCCTCTGTAACCCAAAATTTTCCGAATAGACCGCTATATGCTGACAGCACAGAGCCCCACTGTGGCCAGGAAAGATCCAGACATCCCGGATCTTTCCGGGCCACAGTGGGGCTCTGTGCTGTCAGCATATAGCGAGCTACTTGCTGTCAATCAGCCAGCGGGGTTGGATCTCCACAGTATTGTCTGGATCTGTCCCGGCTGTGGTGCTCTCAGCATATAGCAATAGCCTGCTATATGCTGAGTTTTGGGTCCAAGGAGGACACAGTATATGTCCTCGCGTGATCCTAAAGAGAACTATGTTAAAAAAAAAAAAAACGTTGGCCAATAGTTCTCCTTTAATGATTTGTTGTCACTGAATATCCCTGATTAAACAGATACACACAGGAGCCAATCAGAATGCCTCCTGCTGTTGTGAAGCCCCTGACTGGTTCCTGTAACCCACTAAACTGCAGAGACCACTCAGATGGCCCTGTGCAAGTGTGGAGGCCACCATAGACCAGTGGGTAGGCAACCTCGGCACTCGATGCTCTGCCGCTGGCTGGATGAATGAAGCGCCGCTCCCTCGCTGATAAAAACGTTGCAGATTGTTACTCCCAAAGGAAAGAAGCGACACCTTGTTCATCCAGCCAATGAGGAATCAACCCGTGCAAACAAATAAGTATTTATCTGCCAGGAATTCCTATTTCTTCAAACAATGATAACTCTGCAATAACAATTCCCAGAGGGGACCGGGGCAGGCAGAATCTACAGCAGTTGCCCATGGCAACCAAGCAGCTCCAATCTTTTATTTTCAAAGCTTAGTTGAACAAGCTGAAGAGAGAAGCCGATTGGTTGCCACGGGCAACTGCTCCAGTTTTAGTAAACCCCCTCTTCTGTAATGTCCCATAGCATACAATCAGATCCAAGCCTGCACTGGAAAAAACAACTTGGCAAGAACAACCTGAACTTGATTGGATGCTGCTAGGCAACCAGAAGGTTCCTTATTCCACCTCAATAATAATTAGAACTATCAACTACACGCCACAGAAGGTTCAGATTCGACACAAATGAATTGTTCTGTGGTCGGAGATCGGCATTCGGAAGCCCCGAAGTGGTAAAACAATAGGCCCCGAGGAAGGAGATCTCACCCCTGGAAGAGTTTGCTTTTATGTCTGAATGTGCTCAGGTTATTCACATTCCTCCGATCGAAATACAATCCAATGAGCGCTGCGGCAGGCAGGAAGGAATAGCACCAGTATGCCCGGACAAAGGACGAAACGTTCATGGTATCTGAGGAGGAAAACAGGAAAATGTTATTATGGATGATCTATAGTGAGGTTTATTATATCTTATTCCTCTGCCCAACATACTGAGGGGCCCATCTGTCGGGGACGACCACAGGTCCCTACTCTCTCACCCGTCTCCTGGGGCCACTTCAGGTCCTACCCACTTATTCTTCAGGAACCCCTCCAGACCCACACTCCTGTCCACCCCCCTTAATTTCTCTACCATGCATCTCCAGGGGCCCCTGCAAGTCCTGCCTACTCATGCCAGGGGCCCCTCCAGATCTATGCTCTCGTCCTTCTCCCAGAGGCCATTCTTGTGCCTCTGATCCTGCCCTCCCACCCATCCTCTAAGACCTACGATCCATCACCCAGAGGCCCCCTTAATACCCTTTCGAACATCTCCCAGGGATGCCTCTGGTCCTGCCCTCCCCCCAGGAAGTTCCTTCCCAAAACCCACAGTCCTGTCCTTTTCCCAGGGGCCCCATCAACACCCTTTCGTACATCTCCCAGGGGCCACTCTGGTGCTGCATCCACCCTAAGACCCATGGTCCTGTCCCTCTGCCAGGGGCCCCCTTAACACCCTTCAGGGCATCTCCCAGGGACCCCTCCTTACCTACACACCCGTTTTTCTCCAAGGGCCCCTGCCCAGTTCCACGGGGGCCCTTGTCCTACTCTTTCAATTGCCTCCCAAAGAGCCCTCCAGTCCTCCCCCACCCATCTCCCCATAACCCCTCTGGTCCTACTTTCTTGTCAGCCTCTCAGGTACACAACATGAGCACCCTGTAGTCCAGTAGCGGCTGTGGAACTACAACTCCTATTGTGTTACAGCCTAAACGAAGGGTGCCAGGCCATGGGACAGGACTGCAGCCTCTTGCCTGTATCAATAACACTGCCCTTTTTCTTGTCTTCATTGTTGCCCTGGATACCCCCTTACCACCCCCCAGTGCACCTCCCGG